ATGTGCTCTTTCACCAGGACAATGCACCAGCACATCAGGCGTATGCAACGCAGCAGTTTCTTTGTGAAAACAACCTTGAAGTGGATTCTCATGCTCCCCACTCATCTGACCTGGCTCCTAGCGATTTTTGGCTTTTCCCAACAATGAAAGACACTCTCCGTGGTTGCACATTCACCAGTTGTCCAGCTATTGCATCAGCAATTTTCCAGTGGTCAGAACAGACTCCTATAGAAGCGTTCACAGCAGCCATGGAATCATGGCGTTGAGGTTGTGAAAAATGTGTACGGCTGCAGGAAGATTATGTTGAAAAGTGACAGAAGTTTCAATTTTTTTGTATGATTATTGTGTAAGAAAAAAAATCAGAGACCTTAGAACTTGAACGCACCACGTATTGAAGATCATATATATATATACATACATGTCTTTAAATGATGCTGAATGAACACAGATTATCAAACTTTGCGGAACGAACTGTCAATAAAATTAATACCAACACAAAAAAATTTTCAGTTTTACTAAATATTTTTCATTCCTCATGTAGCTTGCTGTAAGGTAAGTCAAAGTCTGACTATTACAGAGACTTAAGAAATCTGTCACCTTTCATTCTTATATCTAACATTATCCACCATTCCATGCAAATAACCATGCGTAAATGGGGGGGGGGCTCTAGCATACCAGAATTTAAGGCTCGAAAATATTGAAAGAGAAACATTAACACATTATTAAATTACATGAACTGAACTGAATTCCACAACATTGTTTTAATGATGACTTACTGTCACATTCATTACTTGAACTTTCACATATGATAGTAGCATGATTTATAGTGCCACTAGTGGTAAAGAAATCCAGGGCCATAGAAAGCCACTTCTTTACTACAATGTTCAATTTTGTATCATCAACTATATATAGACTGTCAGTCATTCAAATCTGGTTGGAGCAACAGTGAAATTACGTTGGATTCAAGGTTAAGATAAGCAAAATGTTTATCTATTACACCAAAAATGACTCCTAGCTACAACCTATTCTGTCTCAACTCTGAAATGTATTGTACTTTGTAAATGTAAAAGTTCACGCTCACCTAATGGAGACATAGAGGGGCTAGATGTTGTTGACTTCTCCATTGACATCATTCTGCTACTGAAGTTGAGACGTGTGACGGATTTATTTCGTTGATGAACACTGCCAATCGGTGAAATTTCTGGTGATGAAATAAGCTTAGAACGTGGGAAAGGGGTCCCATAAGTGCGGCCTTCAATTACTGGAGCAGATGGGAGAGGAATCTGAGAAAAGAAAATAAAAAATAATAATTAAAAAATGAGTGCTTTACAAATTTGTATACTTGTCTGTGTTCATTTTATTGATATCTACTTCTAGTACAACATTTTCAGTGAATTTTAAATTTCCCAACAAATAAAATGATACAGACATCATCTACAGAACATACAGAGAGCACTGTCTTCTTTCAAGTCAACAGCCAAACTAGCAATGAAATCTTGTTAGGCAAGGAGCCACAGTGACATGGCGTAACAATTAGATATTTCACAGATTATTTCCATATTCAGTACTGGGAATGACATGATAAGTAACACAGACTGACTGATACACAAACATGTTGACATAGCAAAGCCCACTTTTCTTTGGCCAGAAGGTAGCTGAGAAAAGAGCGAACACAATCAGTCACCCATCACAGAACTGATCCAACTTAATGCGTAGACTGATGCTAGTGTGTTCATTCTCTACATACTACAATGAAAATTTCATAATACTTTTCTATGCTCTAAAATGGCTTCAAGACATCAATACTGAGTGTTTAGAGACAGAGGGTGAACAGTGATGTGATGATCATCTGACTGGTAAGGAAAATTGTAATATCTGACAATGAAAATGCAGAAGATGACAGGAGGATATGGGGTGTCTATATTTCTACATAAGGATCCAATAATTTTAAAATAAATGACATTCCCAATATTAAAGGAGTTCAAAGCCATCAGACCTTCCATGCTTTTGTTCATGACTTATCAAACTAACCATTATTATCACCTCTACTTGGACACACCAGTCAAAAACAAAAGATTCCTCTAGAAGATGCTAACTTTTGTGGTCAGCATGGAGATGCTCCGAAGTCACTGTCATGGATGGTAATAGGCATATGCACTGCATGTTCACCCATGTTTCTGAGTTCATTATAAAATGAACTTTTGAGTGCACCCATTTCTCTAACACCGAAATGTATGTTGTTTCCAGATATATTATTACATAAATATGTTCCATATTTTGCATTATTCTAGGGCTCACAACTCAACTAAGTTCTAAACTTTGTCACTCTTATAATCCCTCAACACAGACCAACAGAAAACATGGCTCTTCTATTGTTGCATGTGCGTACATTGCAAGCATTACCTAGCAATGGCGACTGTTTACAGAGCCACTACTTAGCAATGGGTCTACATGCTACAATATGAAAAATGCTTGTCCATGGGTAAAAACTGACAGAAAACTCAACATACTTCAATGATAAGAACGTTAGGCAATGACTGAACTGAAAGTTGCGGATTGACTCACAGTTAAAATGGGGGGGATGCTGTGGCTTGAAGGCTTACTCCAAATGTGTTTATATTTTTCTAGGCTACCCGATGGACAGTTTGCAAACTGGTGAATAACTCCTCAAATATATGACACACCTCATTTTTTTTACAGGAAAAATGTGCATCTTATATTCCAAGTAATATGGTATCTAAAAATCATGAATCTGGAGAAAAATGCACAACAAAGACCTACATAATAAGACAGTGACATTAAAAACAAAAAGTGTTCACACATTCCTAGCAAATATAAATTTCTTGCTAAATTCTGAATGATAACAGAACTTCAACTATGTTACTATGAAGAATGGTTTGAACAGCCGGGTGGAAACTGAAATTAGCATGGAATAATACTGAGTATTCAACAGTGTTTCTTAAATATTAAGTATACGAAAAGATAACTTATGCTGTGTAAAGTTTACCAGCTGTACAGTTTAATATGAGAATATAAACCAAACTAAAAATACAAAGTGTCCTGATAGCAACTAACAAAAGTGAAAAATATAAGACACAGCAACCTGTCAATATTTACCCTGGAAGATGTTGTTAGCAAAAGACCACTATGCGCTGGACTGCCAAGTTTGCACTCTACTTCCATGGAGAAGGATGAAGATGTAGCAGGAGACATTGACATCTGTTGATGGTTCTCTTCGTGGACAAACAGCTTCCTTCTCAGTGTTGATGTACTTAGGTTGGCTTCATCAATACTTTCACATGGATCCTGCATCACATTGTGAAATGACAGCTGAAAGCCGAAATAGTGGAATGAGTGGTGATCATTCCCAGGCAACAACATGGTAAACACACATCCACAGCAACAAATCAACTTGCAACAATGGAGGAACACTTGGGAAGTGGTGTTTTCTGTGTAGTCCATGCCAAGGCTATACAATGCATACCAGCAGCAGCCATGTAGAGAGGGGGCGACCAGTAGCAGCAAGACCCCTCCTCTCATTGAAGAGATGGCCCCATTTCAAAACACATAAAAGTCTTTGAAAGAATAAAAACGGTCATAGGTCCAGACAAGACGTGAAACCAAGATTCACTGTGCTGGTAAGGGCTAGCAGCAATTTAAATGACCAGCAGCCACAGTTTGTGAGTTGCACATGAGCAGCGGCAGTTAATGGTTTGCCATGAAAAATCTCCATTGCTAGCAGCCACTGCCTAGCAACAACTAATGACAGCAGAATAACAAACAGAAGATTTCATGTGTGCTGTAATTCTAGTGATTTATAGTGTGCATAAAATTAGTGTTGTAGTGACAAGTTATAAGCGTCCAATAAATCCAATTATCAGTCTGTACCCTGAGTCTATCAAAATGTGTTTGTAATGAATTGACTTAATGATGTCTAGGAGTGGTAAACAATGTGTGTCCACTAAATTCTTCAAGAAGACTGGAAAGATGGAAACTGGAAATTATTAAATTATGCAATTGGCATTTGGAAATGCAACAATCAGCCAAACATAGTTTTGTCATTTCAAAGGGTGATGAATAAGTTAAAGGTAAAGTTGTCCCTGTGCTTAATTATTTTAGCACCATGCCACGAAGACATAAGTGTGGGTAGAGGTAAGATTCCAACATTCTTGACCTTGGCACTAGATGAAGGCAAGTGGTCAGCTTCATGCCCTGACCACTTTAACCCTGGGGAAATAGTCCCCTGTGCTCATTAGATACAAGGCTGGGTGGGCCCCAGAACCACTATGGATGTTGTGAAGAGAAGACAAATTTCTGGCCCCACCAGGAATCAAAACCCAGCCAACCAGTCTACAGCCCATCATTATGACTG